ATATAGTCACTCCAGTGCTCCTTGGTTACTGTTGGCAATGGCTTATCTTTTTCATTTGTTTTACTTTCAATTTATTTCTGTCTGAATCTAAAGTGTGTCTGTTACAGATAATATATGGTCAGATAATTTTTTAAATTCATTCTATTGATCTTTGCCTTTTCATTGCAGTGTTTAACCCATTTACAGTCAGTTTATTCATAAGTTAGGATATGTTTGTCATTTTTATATTTACTTTCTACACGTCTTGCTGCCTTTTTGTTCTTCTATTTCTACATTACTGTCTTCTTTTGTATCAAATAGATATTTTCTAGTGTGTGATTTAAGTCATTTGCATTTCTTTTAGTACATATTTTTTAGTTATATTTTGATAGTTGCCCTGGATATTATAATTAACCACTTAACTTATAACAATATAGTTCTGATTAATACCAACTAAATTTCAATAATATATAATGGGGAGTGACTTCTTAATAGGTATGGGATTTCGGTTTGGAATGATAAAAAAATTTGGAACTTGTTAGTGGTGATGATTACACAATATTATGAATGTACTTAATGCCACTGAATTGTATAGTTTTTTTGTGAGGAAGATTGGCCCTGACCCAACATCTGTGCCAATCTTCCCCTATTTTATGTGGGATGCCACCACAGCATGGCTTGATGAGCAGTGCTAGGTCCACACCCAGGATCCGAACCTGTGAACCTCGGGCTGCCAAAGTGGAATGCGTGAAGTCAACCACTAGGCAACCGCGCTGGGTCCTGAATTGTATAAATAGCTAAAGTGGTAAATTTATGTTATGTTTATTTTACCACACCAAAAAAAGAGGAGAAATTAAGACATTCCCAGATGAACAAAAACAAAGAATTTGTCACTAGCAAAGTTGCCCTACAAGAAGTACTAAAGGCAGTTCTTTATGTTAAAATTAAAAAGACACTGGACAGTAACTTGAATCCACATGAAGAAATAAAAGCACTGGTAAAGGTAACCACATAGATAGATATAAAAGAAAGAAACTTTTTTTGTTAGTGACTGTGTTTTCCTATCTGATTTAGAAGACATCTGCATAAACCAATAATTATCAATATGTGCTGATGTCTACAAGGTGGATGAACTTGAAAAACAGTGGGCTAAGGGAAAGAAACCAGACACAAAAGGTCACATATTGTGTGATTCCATTTATAGGCATACCTCATTTTACTGTGTTTTGTAGACACAGGCATACCTCAGAGATGTTGTGGGTTCAGTTCCAGACCACTGCAACAAAGTGAACAGTGCAATAAAGCAAGCCACATGAATTTTTTGGATTCCCAGTGCATATAAAAGTTATGTTTACACCATACTGTAGTCTATTAAGTATGAAATAGCATTATGTCTTTTTTTCCTCCCCAAATCCCCCCAGTACATAGTTGTATATTTTTTCAATGGTGGATCCTTCTAGTTGTGGCATGTGGGACGCCACCTCAACATGGCCTAATGAGCGGTGCCATGTCTGCGCTCAGGATCGGAACCCTGGGCCGCCAAAGCTGAGCGCGTGAACTTAACCACTCGGACGCGGGGCCTGCCCCAGCATTATGTCTTAAAAATGTACACACCTTAATTAAAAAATACTTTATTACTAAAAAATGCTAGCCATCATGTGAACCTTCAGTGAGTTGTAATCTGTTTTGCTGGTGGAGTCTTGTGAAAAACGCAACACTATGTGAAATGTTCACAACAGGCAAATCCACAGAGACAGAAAGCAGATTGGTGGTTGCCAGGGGCTGGGGGAGGGGGTGTGGGGATCAACTGCTTAAAAGGTACTGGATTTCCTTCTGGAGTGATGAAAACATTCTGGAACTACCTAGAAGTGGTGATTGCACACCACTGTGAATATATGAAATGCCAGTGAATTGTTCACTTTGAAATGTTAACTTTATTTATGTGAATCTTACCTCAATGGCACAAAAAGCAGCTTCCCAACTAATATGGATGTAGAGGATTTAGGAATCACATTTTGGCCAACCAATCTTACATCATATCATTTGGGCCTCAGAGGAATGTGGACTGTAATTCTTCTCTGTTCTCTCCACTTGAAGGCCTCTGAGGAGTCATGTAGAAAGAACTGAAATAGCGAACCCTACCATCCCCACCACGCCCTAATTGCACTTGCCTACTTCAGTCCATCTATCTCATTCCTTCCACCCTTCCAGTTTCCTGTCTTGATAGTATCTTGCTGCCCATCCTGAAACATGGTTACCACGTAGGTTGAATTCTTGGCTCTTACCAATCCACGTGGCTGCTGTGCATGACTTTACCAAGTTTGTTGATGGCCAAGTTTGCTTTCAACTTCCAGTTTGCATTTAGCCTACTCTGACCAATCAGGAGAAAGGTATGGGTTACTTTAGTATTCATCCTGAACTTTCCAGAATTTCTGCAACCTCGACACAAGTGCAAACTTCCAAGTACAAGCCTCGTGGACTTCTTACCATGTCCGGCCCAGCTAACCAACCCCAGCACCCGCAACACTCGTCTGCACGCTGGCTCTGATGTCTTCCCACATTCCCCGCCCCAGAGCAGCAGGAGAGCCAAATACCTGTTGAAGAGGGAAAAGAGGGTCCAGGAGGCTTCACACAGGGGCCTGCATTGAGCTGGGCCCTGCGGGGTGGGCACCGCAGGCAAAGGACATTCCAGTAAGAGGCAACCACACAAAAGGCATGAGTACTCTAGTATAGAGGCCTAAAGCACAGACTTTGGGTTCAAACTGTAGTCCGCCCATTTCTTAGTTCTTTTCATGATCCCATCCCTCAGTCCTCTCTCACCCCACACCCATCCCCTCTGTGTTATAAACACTCTCCTAACTGCCCATGCTCAGTTAGATAGTTCCCCATTCAGTGTATCTAGTCTTCAATGGCTGGATTCATTCTCACTTAATGCCCCTAATGCATATGTGCAATTGTCACGTGGGGCTATTTAGGCTCACTTTCCAGTCCAGATAGATCCCTACCTGGTACCACCTCCATTTCTCTTTCCCGATTGCTGAAGCAAGCACTCCTAAATATAGTCGCTGTGGGGGAGTTGAAGTTCCTGCTAAGACCCCTCAGGTATCTGGCTTGAGTCTGATCCAAAAGCAGAAATGGCAGGGAAGAACTTTCTAGAAGGAGGCAATGATATGCAAAGCTGAAAAGGATGGTTGAGAGATTGTTTGAATTCATTGCTAGAAGCAATCAGGGAGACTGACGCGACTTACTTCACGGTTGTTTTATCCTTTGCTTCCCGCAACTCCTGCAACCCCAACTCAAGTACAAAGCAAATCCTTCTCACCAATAACAAGCAAACACCTCAGATACAAGCTAGTGTTCCACTTACAAAGGGAGGAGTAGATAGGATTCCTGTCAATCATTCTCACCCCAACCAATCAGAATCTTTGAAGGCGGAGCCACAGACTGGCTATAAAGCGAGCCCAACGGCAGGTGTTGGGGGACCATTTCGTCTTGGGTCGGGTGGAGTAGACTTCTCCTCCGGGTTGGGGAGGGTTGCTGCTCCCGTCTGTAATCGCAAAAGTGTAAGGTTAGTTGATTGTTGACTATTTGTAGTATGCTTTTTATATATGGGTATAGGGAATGTAATAATATACTTTAATAATATACTTTTTAATATATTTATTAAATATATTAAATATTTAACAAATTACTTTAATATTTAATAATAAGTATTTAATAATATACTTCAATAATATAATTAATAGTATACTTAATAGTCTGAAGGGCATAGGAATTGTGAAAATGTGGGTCTATTAGCTGAATTTGGGCACAGTTTCATGCCTTGTGTTACAACGTGATGACTCTAATATTTTATTTGTTTAAATATTGGTCCTGGTCCCCTCTTGTATGTGGTGTTAAGGTGCTGTGATATTTTCAACTTAAAACTGAGAAAGTGGATGGTGCCGTTGCCTCAGCCAGTGTAGGACAGCACTGTGGCTGCCAGGGAACTGATTCTGCCTTTTATTTTAAATCTTTGGATGATTATTGTCTTTGTGTATTTGTTTAATTCTTGGTCTTGGCCCCTCTGTCTCTTATTTTCAATCTGAAAAGGAGAAATTTCACACACTGAGGCATCGTGCATGGATTGGGACAGTTAGTTCCTGTTGGCTGCCTTTGAGCATAGTTTTGTGTGGATTTTTTTCTTAAATATTATTTGTGTGGTTAAATTTTGGAATCAATCCTCTTATTTGCTGACTTAATTTAAACAAAAAAGTTTTCTTGTATTTTCAACTTGAAAAATGAGGAAACTGACGATCCAATCACCACAGGACTTGTTCATTGACTACCTTAAAGGCACCATTTTGCAATTTTGCATTTTTATGCAATATTCTTGTGTATTTACTATTATTATATTCAACCGAATGTGGTCCTGATGCTTTTCATGCATTTTCCTTTAAAAGTTTGGTCTTATTTACGCTTGGCGTTTTACAAACACTGCCCCTAAGCCTCTATTCAGCCGCTGTTGGATGTTGGTTTGGCATTTAAATTTACAAAACAATTGTTTGTTCATCCTCATTGTATTCAGTGTATTTTGGTGTTGGGGATTTCATATGGGAGATTTTGTGCAAATTTCAGGTCACAGTGGAGGAAATTAACGTTCAGATTGAGTATCTTTTATTTGATAATAAAATTGTGTTTTTGGTATAAATTTGGCTAAATTCTGATCTTGTTCTCACTTCATAAATTTACTTAAAAATAAACGTTTTGGGGTACTCAGGATTTACGAATGCAGAATTTAATCATCTGACCGAGTCCTTAATGTTTTACAACAATGAACGCACTTAAGTGTCTGTCGTAGACTGCCGTTTAATGCCATTTGGCACTTTATTTTACAGAGTAGTTGTATGTTTGGTGTCATTTTATTACATTAAATGTAGGTCCTGCTCCTTTCCATAACCTTTGTGTAAAAAAAGCTTCGTGTTATCTTCAGTTCACAAATAAGGAAGTTTTCTAATTGAAAGGTTTTGTGGTATTTTCAGTGTAAAAACGCACAAATTGATAATCGGAGTGGCTGAGAGTTTGTTTTAGGGCAGTGATCTGCCCAGAAGTGCCCGTCACCGACCACCGCTGAACGTTTCGTAAGTCATTTCCTGCAATAATTTGATGTTGAATATCACATTGTTCCATTCAATTCTGTCCCTAGTCTTTGGCATACATTTCCTTTGAAAAGTGTGGGACATTTCAATGTATAAATTAGGAAAGTTACAGTGAGATTGAGTGCTTCGTGTTTACCGGCAGTGAGTAGCTGTTGGAAGTCATGTAGCGTAGTTTTGGATTTTATTTTACAGTATAGTTGTGTATTTAATATAATAGTAATTTGCAATTTTTGGCCTGAACCCTCTTTCCCAAATGATACTCCACAGAGAAAATTATTTGCATAGTTTCTATTTACAAACAAGAAGGACAGCAGTGGTCCAAGATTGGGTTAGTCAGAACAGAAAATGGCAGGAATACGATGTCCCTCCCCCACCTCAGCGCGTGCTGGCCCCGCCCCTTTGGCAACGCGACTATGCCGTTGCTGGTTGCGCGTTTTAAACTGACAGGGATTGCGTATTTAGATTCAGGCCTCCATTATGTGACGTCTAACGTGTATCCCAGGTAACGGAAAACTCCCGACTCAAAAACCTGAAGATCGTAACCACTGAGAAGAACCTGATTCTTGCTGTGAGGTAAAATGGTGCTGGTTGAATTTGTCTGGCTTATTATTGAGTTTGACTTCCATTATGAATATTGTCTTGTATCTCACTGATTGAAACCTTTGCTGGTGGAACATTGATGTTCTCCAAATATTATGTTCCTGGATTCTACTTAGAAATCAGAAACATCGATTGTTGGTAGGATTGAAAGCTGCCTCTGCGTTTGTTACTATGAGGTACCAAGGTTTTAGGAATCAAGACGTTAACTAGCCTCACAAATACTACCATTTCAAGCAGAGCCCCAAATCTTGAACAATTTCTAAATGTGGGATTTAGGCCTAGGTGTCAAGCTTGAAGGCATCTTTATTGCATTCATTTTGCTCATAAAATCGTAGAGGGGTTATTTTCCAAGGACCACATCCACATAAACCAGTATTAGCAATTGTCAAATTTCTTTCATTATTATTTCCTTGAAGATCTATGTTCAGTGTTAGACAGTAGCAATATTATTTAATGGTTGGAATTATTCCTGAAATTACCCTAAATGATATTAGCTTCTTTCTGATGTCCGTGATTTTCTAACTTACTGTGTTATTGACACTAATACACCATGAAATACTGTTGTATAGTTTGGTGAACAACTCAAACTCCCACTTCAAAGGTTTATTACCCGTAATCCTACCTGAGTCTTTAGCTGTGGTATTGAATAGAATAAAGTGATTTGTTTGAGACTCCCCCTTATAGAAATTAAGAGATATGGCCTATTAGCCTAATAGTCCATAATTCCCTTGTGATGTTTGATTAAAGCAAGCTAAACTATGGGCCATTTTGAAAAGCCAAACCTCTGAAGCAGCAGTCTGATCTGATCCTGTAGCCACAAGGTGGGTGCAGTTGCTCACTGTCTTACATTTTCTTTCACTCTGCATGATTGGGTACCCTGGCCCCACCAACCATTTTCAGGAGTTCCTCTGGATAAGGGAAAGGGGACTTTTGTCCCAGCCACCCACCTAAAGGAGTTTCCCAGATAAGTAACTTTCCTGCAGTGATGGGAAGCTGTCCACCCACGGGCAGATCCCCTTGTAGATTTGTACAATCACCACTTCAATCACCACCTCCTGTAGGACCTGGGACAAAAAGTCCGGGATTGATGAGTCTGTGGGCCTATAACGAACGTGAAGAAAGTGGAATCAGAACCAATAGTCAGAACCAGTCAGATGAGTAAGTGCATCTCTATATAGTGGGACGTGTGGTGTGTTGGGCAGAGGGCAGCTCCCTCTCCTGTCCCCGTGCCATCGTTAAAGATGGTGTTAAAAGCCGTTCCCTGTGCCTCTATGAGGTAGGAACTACCAGCAGTGGCAGCGTCACTCCTGGGCACTGCCGGCTAGCTCCATGGTAGAGTCCCTGTTTCTAGAACCGGTTCTTTTGATTAGGCAGGGGCAACTTTTTCTAGTCCTTATTTGTGTTCCTTTGTCCACGGGGACCGCTGCTGTTACAGACATATTGACATAATTAGATCATTTTGATTTCAAAGAAACCTCACTCTGACTTTTTAACACCAAAGTTTTGATCATTTTTATTCCTTTTGGAAAGCCAGTAGCGGACAGCAGAAGGATGGAATGGATTAGTAGAAGTTTGTAGAAAACAAACTTCGGGAGTGGAAGGAGTGCAAGGTGCTGCTGGGTTCCTTTGTTTCAACAGGTATGAGAACGCGGATCTGAATGTAAATTTAAAGCCCAGCTCTTTCTATGGCAAAGGGGGAGACATGAGACCCGTGGACCAAGTTGGGGGAAAGGAATGGTAGTCTGTCAGCCCACCCTTCCTGTGGCATTTATCTGGTGGGGGTCCTGAGGGCATAGGCCAGCAATTAAAGTACTATGTAAGTCAATACTCCTCCAAAACTTTACCTTTCCATACATTGTTGGCCATTTCCATGCTTTGCAGACATGCTGGGACCACATACCATGTTTAATACATAGTAACCCCCAGTCTCTGAGTCTGGGAGACACTCAGCTCATTTTCCCCTCTAAAGCAATAGTCTGGCAGCTCAGCTGGTTTCTAACATTACTTCAACACTTTGTGCCACTGTTAAAATTTTTCAGTGCATTCAGGTATTGGAAGCTGGCGGCAAGGTTTGAAATTTGCAGTCTAAAGCTCCCTGACCCCTGTGTTTTCTGTCCCATTACACAAAAGAAGTACAGTGGGACGAGTGGACTTGGGTGAGTTGATCATGACAAAAAGGGCTAATGTTAATTGGGTTACATTTAATGCTCCTGTGTAAATAAATGCTCTCTCTTCCCTGGTCATAGTCTCTGTCAATACAGCAGCCAAACCACAAGGCTCGATTGGTAAGCATTCCCCATATTTGGTGCTGGTTTCCCCAGATTGCTATCTGATGTGTTTCTTTCAAACAGGTAGATGCCCTGTGTCTGAACTTCATTTCACCGTTGCTGTCAGTTCTCTGGCAAAGTATGCAGTGACTGGGTCAGGATTCTCTTTTGATGAGTAATGAGATTTCATGTCAATTTCGGATTGAAGCTTTCAGAACATGAGAATACCAAACCTCAGAGTGGGCCATCTTCTAAACACAGTTTACACTTTTGGAGTTGTTGCTCACTTTGGAATGTGGTCTTCCCCTGCAGCCACATAACACTAAGCCTTAGAAATTGTACTTATTATTGTCATCTGTAGAGTAAATGCCTGCTTGCTACTATATAACTTCCCTCTTGGGTTGTTTGGAGTCAGACCTCAGTTCAAACCTGATTCCAGCAGTAACTGTCTATCCTTAGTTCTTAACTAACTCTTTGAGCCTGAATTTCCTTATCTGCAAAACAGGAACATACTTTGCTATCAGGGCTGTTGTGAGAATTAAGTGTGATAATCTTTGTAATGCACCCAGTACACAGGAGGTACTCAAGGAATCAGTCCCTCATTTCCTGAATGCACATACAGGAGCAGGACATCATAGTGCTTAGTTTAGCTTCCTCCCTACCCCCTCCCTTTATTTTCTTTCCTTTCTCAGGTACAGCAAATTCCTCATAGGCTATAGTGCCTTCTCTTTAGAAACCACACCTTTGTAATCTTGCTGTGAAGCAAGAGGTGGCCCAGGGACCCGTGATTTTTCCTTGTTCTGCTCAAGGTTCTGTTCTGGCAAAATTGGTCATCTTACACCGAGGCTGACGTGACTCAGCACCCAGTGGGACATTCTAGGGTTTGTCAAGCTGTCAAATCCTAGCTGGAGGGTGCCTAACCTGCAGTCCTAGAAAGTTCTCCTCTCTTTCTACGCCTGTAACAAGTTATTTCTGGGCTGTGATTAATTCATTTAAGGTTAGGTGAAAACATTGATGATGTGAAAGAGAAAACGCCATGTATAAATATGCACTATCCTAAAGTGTTCTCACAGAGACTTTAACTTTTAGTCTCAAAAGATACCTCTGGCTCCTCTATTTTTATATTAGCACATGTTTTATTCTGGTAGGATCATGGAACCTAAAGTTCACCCACCCCAAGTCAAAAAAATTCACATTTCTTTTTGATTAGAAACTAAAGTGTCTAGCTGTTGCATAGCACATTGGCATTTCAAACCTTTTTGATTTCTCCCTGTAATTGGTTAAATTGCTGTAAAGCCCGGACAGTGGGGGTCATTGTTATTTTTCATTATGTGAAAAACTGAATCTGGAGGTATTTAGAAAAAACTTTACCCAAAACCACTTACTGGAGCTGTGCCGGCCAAGTTCCTACACCAAGTAACGTGACGGAGATCTTAACTTATTTGCTGGTCCAAAAAAGGTATGAAACTTAACTATACCTCTGCCACCTCCTCCCCCTTCCACACACACTTGGACGCACTGCCCATTGCCGTCATCTTTGGTTTCTGGGGGAGGTGTGGGGAAGGCTAAATGAATGGTGTAGTAAATAATTTCCCTAAGTATTGGCATTTTAAAAGTGGTCACGAGGCAGAGGAATCCCAAAGGGTTAATATCTATTTGGAAGGATATCCCCAGACTTCAGAAACCTAGCAGAAGTGACAGGGACCTTATACAGAACTTAAGGTATAGCCTGGCTTCTTGAATCCTTAAGAGTGCAGTCCTTTGCCCTTTGACTCATCTGGGGTCTTCTCTCTGAATAGTTACTAATTATTTGGAATTTTAATTGGCTATAAATTGTCAGTTTGATTTTTCTACTGCAAACTCATGTTTGGATTAAATGTGTTTCCATACTTCTTATTTGTATGGATACTGGAGAGAGAGTGAATTATAATGGGAACTTAAGCACAAGCCTATATGGATTATGGATCTTTTATGCAGGAAAAATCAATTTTCTTAGGACATGAAAAAGCACCATGTACACAAAGGTTAATGGGCTCAAATTTTATTTTCTTTGAAAATAACTTCAAATTGTAATTATGATATGTGCTCACAAAGTAGGTCTAGAGACTATAAAAAGTGCTATGCTATAAATGTTTAACAAATGTCTCTCACAAAGAAGGGAAAACATCCTGATATATAACATTTGCCAATTTCTAAGGTAAAATTACTGCCATCTCATGGCTAATTTTAAACAACAGATGTGACATCACTGAATGCAAATTTAGGAAGAGATGTGCACGATCAGCTCATACACTGAATGAGTTTCAAAATCACTGGCAATCTGATTACGTAGAGTTAGGACCGCTGCTAACATTTCTGTGTTTTTCCAACTAGTCTTTCTATGAAAATATCCATATTGGTTCTAATGAAGAATCTTGTCATTGGTTTTTGGTAAGTAAATTTATGCTTTCTCGTTCAGATATTTGACTCTGTTTTGTTTCCAAACTCAAATATTATGTACACACTTAGGAAGGGCATAATGATTCAGTGAATTTACTTTAAATATTCTCATTTTTGTTTAGCCTAATGCTCTGAAAAGCATTGTACAGTGTGACATTTAAAAAGTTGTATGGTTGGTGCAGGTTTGTTGCCTGTCTTCAGTAACAGCACATGTAGCAGTAGTGAGAATATCATGATCCTTCCAGAAGAGTTGCAGTCCATTTGTATGGCTTGATGCAGACTAATTATAGGTCTGGCCCATGGGAATATAAACACAGTGAGAGAGAGACTTTCCCTGTCCTGTTCATATTTGCATTCCTAGTGTCTGGAACTGGTTCTAGGAATAAACTGCCTCCTAGTGAAGGACGTCAGGCCTAGATGAGGTGTCAAAAGGGACAAGAGGCATTGGTATGTGTCTATGTGTAACTATACAATTTAAGAAGCTCTGTCCAAGGTCTAGCAGGAGCTGATGAGTTTGCCACACTATGGCTGGAGGCTCGTGACTGCTAGATCCCCCAGGAGCAGAGCTGGGAGCTCCTGCTGGAGCTCTTCTTCCTGAGTTAAGAGCGGAGGTTCTATTCCCCCTGCTTGAGTCTTTCTCTAGCTGCTGACACAGTGACTAATGGCTAGGGAAATACTTCACTAGAGGAGGTAGGGCAAGAGATACCAGCTGGAAGCCTGGTGGGAAGAGAGTAAAGAGGGAAGAGGGATTGTTCATAGTGTGCAAGGGGACATGTGTAGCCTGCTGGTCAGAGAGTAACTTCTCTAAATTTGACCTCTTCTCAACAGATCCAGTTTCACTGATTCCATCTGGGCTAAGTGCCTACCTGTCTCAAGATCCTTATGGAGGTAAGGATATATAAGGGTTACAGAAGAGAAGCATTTTTGGTAATATATTGTCTTGATTCACAGAACAAACAAAATGGCTGCAGGTGAAGATTTTCACAGCTTGCGTTAAGTGTTAATTAGAACCAGTTAGAAGCCTTGCCTGTGAGAAATGCTTGTTTAATTTAAATACCTGTGCAGAGAAACTGGTCCTTATCAGTTAAAGCCATGGCTGGCACCCAGCCATCAGGAAACCCCAAAACGCAGCTGTTCCTTTGGACTTTTGACCAAAACAAAGTCACCCCCTCACACCTAGTTAATGTAAGCATAGATTCCTTTTGTGCTTCAGCCCAGTGGAAATTTTCATTCCTCTATTAAGCAAAAACAGTTTCCTGCTACCTATTGTCAGCATCTCTCATTTTTGGCTATTCTATAAACCTGTCCTCCATTCACACACGTAGTTAGGTTGGAAATGTCAAGGGACCACAGTGAGATGTTTACGAAATTCCATAAAAATATGCTTTCACAAAACTGAGGTTTATTGGTATTCCAGAGGAGCTGGTAATGACTTCTTTTCCATCGGAGTCTGCTCCTCGCCCCCTCCCTCTCACCTTGAACTTTTGCTTGAGTCTAGGAATCAATTTTGTCTAATTTCCAAATGTTGCTTGTCAGTAGTTTGGCTGGATTCATTATATATATATACCCAGAATGGAAGGTAGGTTGGTGCATCTTAATGACATAAACACCACCCTTATCCTGACAAGCTTTTTCTCCCTTCCTGCTATTTTGTTTTGTCATTTCTTAGCAGAATCAAGAGATATAATATTTTATTAAAATGAGGGGTTCTCTTAACAGGATATTGACCCTAATGTCTCATTTTATGATAAACTCTACTCATCACAGGTAGGCATTTGTTGGAACTCATATTTTTCATGGTGTTCTAATGAGTCAAAAGTGATCCAGAAAAGACTATCCCTTAGTCACTGACTGTCCAAGTGTGGGGCTGACATGCGTTTCCTACAGCCTCTCTGTGTGAGGTTCTTCCAAGTAGAGGTCAGCTAGCTACTCACTGGGTGTACAAAGCGGTCAGGAAATAGAAGTTTGTGTTTTGTTTTTATTTCTATCAAACTTATACAAGAATGACATTTTAAAAAATGAACTAATTCCATGAGGTCTACTCATAACAACAGTAGTTTCCCCAGCCTACCACCATTCTCCCCTTTCTTGCTCACCATGTTTATCCAGAAGCAACACCATGTGAATTTGCAGTTGTAGAACTAACTTGTGCTGAAAACTGCTCAGAAAAACATGACGGCACTAAAAGGATTTAAGATGGGATCCTTTGGCCACTTGGGCTGTCTGTCTTTCTAAGGAGAGAAGAATTACAGAGGATAAATCCTCACAAAGGGAATCGGGAGAGATGGAGTGACAATTAGGAAATGGTTTGTTACCTGTAAGGGCCTACAGCCCAGGTGTGGAGAGGGGGCTGCGCCTGAGGATGAAGATAAAGCACACGGTTAGGACAGGGGCTGTGGTGTGAAAGGTATCGTGGGTATTGTGTGTTCAGGGGTGTCTCCTGCCCTCTTCCCCCTTCCCACCCCTCCCTGTGCTTCAACATCTCCCCAACTGGATGAGCAATCTAAGGGATATCACAGATCTGAGAGTTTTATTACTATGGCCTGAGAGGTAGCCAGCAAATATGGAAGGAGATATATAGCAAAAGACAAAACTATGACGGTCTGCAAACACCACTTTTCCCTACAGGTTTCGGCTTCAGAATACAGGCTTTCGAAAGAAATGTCCAGCACTGTTGCCACTTGATTTTTTAAACTTTCATGTGTCTTCCCCTTCTACCTTCTGGTTTTCTTTAGTTAATAATGAGTAATACTTAAAGATGATTTTTAATGGGCAACGATATCAGCATAGATAAGACTTTAAATTTTAGCTTGAAGGCAATTTCAGTTTGAGACTCCTCAATCGCTTTAAATACTTCATTTAAATAAGTATTCCATCTATGATCTATTTTTTATTTTTTATTATTATTATTTTGCTGAGGAAGATTCAGCCTGAGCTAACATCTGTGCCAGTCTTCCTCTATTTTGTATGTGAGCCGCCACAGCATGGCCACTGACGAGTGGTGTAGGTCTGCGCCCAGGAACTGAACCCAGGCTACCAAAGCAGAGCGTGCCAAACTTAACCACTAGGCTTCATGGCCAGTCTCTGATCTATTTTTTAAACACTTGGGCAAGAAGCTGGTAGCTCCATGCTCTTAACATTATCACCTTTCCTGGTCTGTTATTAAAGTGACAGAGAGACTGATTGCTCTTGGTACGTGAGGAAAGGATGGTAAGTAGTGTTCATCATCTTTTTATCATCTAGAGCTTGAGAAGGATTCTTTTTAGCCCTGAAAAGTTATTGTATTCACCGAGATGCAGAAGGATATTTGGGCTGCACTGTAGGTGTTTTAAATACTGATTTCTTGGTGGTAGTTTCTCAACCTATGATATGATAGTTCAAAGTCTTTGGCACGTAAATATGCTTCATGAGTCTACAGAAGGCCAGAAGGAGACAGGCAAATTAGGCAGTATGGAAAGGAGCAAAGGGAAAGTGTGTGAACTGGTAAGTACGCAGCAGGCAGTTCACAATCAGCCCATTTGTAAGGAGACCAACATGTGAGAAGCTTTCACTTCTCAGAATTGGTTTATATATTTGATTTATTTTTTTTTCAAATACCTTGAGCTCAATGGAAAATAAGTAGTTTGGAATTGCATTGGATTGTCTGTTCAAATCTGCCTTAACATGGGAAGAGCATCTGAGAATTGTAGAGATGTAAGTGTCCTTGATACAATGCCCGACATACCTGCATGGAAGAAGCAGATACCAATGTCCATTTCGAGTACATGGGAGACTACTGCCCTTTTTTGCAAAGTTGAGAATTTGGTAATGAAGACAGTTCTTTATTTACCATTTTCCCTATGAATTCTGTATTTCTGAGTTGATGTAGGCTTTGCTGCCCCTGCCCTTTGTGGATTTTTTCTTGGGCCTATGAAAAATGGCTCTGGGGATAAGTGGCCTCTCAACTTTCTCATTTGTTTAGAGAGTTATCTGGGACAGACTTTTGCACGTGAGCTGCCGTTTGAGGGTAGGGTTGTTCCAATATATTCTTCAAGACACTGTTTTCCTGCAGCTTTTCCGTATTCCATATCTTTCTGCTGTACCAATCTGTAGTCGTGGTTGCTGCCTATAATATTTCACTTCCCTCTTGGGATCCCTCAGTGATTTTCAGGAGGGCTCAGCTAAATTTCTAAGTTATAACTCCTTACATTGGTCAGTTTCTTTTTCTTTCTTATTTTGGGCTAGTTCTGTGTGCTGGGTTTCAGTGCCTTTTTTTCACTGATTTTTCCTCATTTTCCAGCTCAGTCCTTTGTTTTCTTAACATATTCTTGTTTGCGGGGTCTCACTGTAATGACACTTCTGAAACCAATGTGTTTTGCATCTGTCGAGAAGCATCCACTCTTTAACTAAATCCTGTCCCTTTCCCGTGAGCATCCTCAGGCCATCTGAAATCTACTCCAAGCTATAGTTTTCTCTGTCCTTGTCCTGCTTGGCTACACTTTATCGTGTTTCATCTTTGATTTGCCTTTCCTAGTTCCATAAATGTTTCGGTCATGTGCCCTTAGGAAACATGCATTACTATATCCCGAGCTACCTATGGTAACTGTCACTAGAAAGTCATCCAGTAAGTCTGTTAGTATTTTATGCTGATATTACTGGACTTTTCTTTTAATCCATCCATTTTTTGTCTTAATCTTCAAGAGGTAGTTTCCTCATTGCTAATACTGCACACTTTGTGCTTCTTAATCATTTTCTGTCTCTTGACTCCTTCAGTGGGTGGGGATGGGGGTCAACCCACTCTGATTATTAAGTTCTTGTCTCATCGATTCTTAGGTTCTTGGATCCTGGTCATCCTTTGTGATCTTTAACAACTTAAACATCCTTCGTTATATACTACACTCGTGAAGAGAATGTAGACCTGGGTGTATTTCCTTTCCTATTTTTATCTACTCTCCTGGTTTTCAAGATCTCATATTCCCCTATCTGCCATGGCTGATTTCTAAAATCTCATACTTGAAAATTAAGAACTCTTACTTTTAACTTAATCTGTTTTAATTCTTCCACTGCTCATGTACTTTGATTTGGCAGATTACTTAACGTCTCTGAACTTGAGTTTCTGTCAGTACAAAATGGAGATGATAAGATCTGCCCCGGCTTCTTGAAGGGGCCGGGATGAGGGCAGAAGTAAAAAGCACTGTTGAATGCTGGATCCTCAAAAACACTACCAGAATAACTTGTTGCTAAGGCAAAGTTGAGTTTCGCTTTACCGTGGTAAAGAAGAGCACTACTTTGACAGAGTCTTATATCGTATGTCGGGGGGAAAGGCAAAATGATGCTAATTGTGAGGTTTGGGATTTTGATTGAAGGTGGCTGTGTGAGTGGGAGCTTGGTTAGGATGGGGTAAGGATTATGGTACAATAGTCGAGGATTGGTGGACACAACAGGGGCAAGTGTTTGAGACAAGGGCTTTGACTTTAATCCACTTGGCTGAAAGTCTGTTTGCTGCTCATTTGAATATTTTTTCTGGAAGTTTCTGGGATGAACAGCAGAGTTATCTGCAGTAATTTCCTTCATGAGCAAGAATTACCTGGAATAGTAAAGTCATGTTGATGAATACAGTAGATAGTAAAATTATATTTGATAAAACAGCCAAAGAGTAAAATCATGTTAACGTAGGCAGTGAGCCGTGGGAGGGTACATGCTTTTACTTCTCAGTATAGAAGAGCACTTTGTAAATGATAAGTACTATGCAAATGATGGTGGTGTTATTCATAAGGCAAGTGTTTCATTTTTTTTAATTCTTATGCCTTCTTACCTAAATGCAATATTTTTCTGCTTAACATTAGTAGGAAAGGGAATCTTTATTCAAAATGACTAAGCTTCTGAAATGTCATTTAGCTCTCTTCAGT